CCCCACGAAAAAAAAAAGTTGGGAAAAAAAACGGAGGGGAAAATTGAAAAAACAAAAACAAAAACTTGAAAAACATTGAAAAACTAGATTTCTTTTTTTTTTCCCACAGATGAGCTGCAGCTAGGAGCTGCAGGTTGAACAAAAACCTGTGCAAATAAATTATGTACCATAGAATACAAAATGCAAGTATTGAAGTGGTGATGGAGAAGTTCAACGATGGAGAAGTTCAACGATGGAGAAGTTCAACTCCCCAGAAAAAGACAGGCGGAGTTGTTTATTACCATCTTTCACCCATCCACATAGTGGAGGAGGTGCTGCACTAAAAGAACGATGAGACTGAGACTGAGCTACACTACCACAGCTTTCCTATGACTGTCCTAGCACACTAAATCACAGTTTTCCAGAGTGGCTTTAAAATGCAACTAACTTGAAAACATGGTCCTATTCACAATTGGGTGTGCTTCTGAGATAGTCTGCACTGCTAGGACAGGCTTTGTGTACATCTCTAAGGAAGGAAGGGTCTTTGAACGCGTGACGACCCCCCCCCCCCCCCCCCCCAAAAAAAAAAAAAAAAAAAAAAAAACCAACAGACCTGCCTTATCCTCCTATCGTTCAACAGTGGAAACTGGCACGGCATCGCCATAAAATCATATGCAACCCATAACTATGTTGCATCAATTGGAAATTTGGAATACGCTGTGGTGTACAGCTCCCACGGAAAAACCCACGGTTGTTAAAAAAAAAAAAAAAAAAGTAGTTCTAAAAAATAGCCTGGCACAAATGCTACAAACCTTCTCCACGGCACAACTAGGCTCGTCACCGGTACATGAAAAGGAACTGCCACTAGTCTGCTAGTGGATTGTAACAACTTTCGCCCAGACGAAGGGGAAAAAAAAAAAAAAGTCAAAAGAAAAAAGAAAAAGGATAGAGAAAACCCACTAGAATTAAGTGTGTGCTACAGTAAGACATGCATGCTGGGGACAGTCACTATTTTTAAATAATACACCGATCGACGACCCGCGACCACTGCCATATCAGACAGAAATAACCCAGGCATTGGTGCACGAAAGGCATGACCTTGGCGTGCACTCGTCTGTACTTATGTCTATCTCTGCACATGTGTTTTTGTGTCCGCATGTCCTTGTGTGTGCGCGTCTTTCATTCTTAGCTTTCTCTATTTTTCATCATGGACGTGGGCCTGTGCTTATGTGTAGATGAGCAGAAGGAGCAAGGACAAAGATAATTCATTCGTCCATTAGCAGAAATTCGATTTCAAATTTGCCTATTATTTCTGATGATGCGGCCACTATTGATCTGCTGTGCATGAGTAGAATCATCCTAGCTCCCAGTTGCTAGCCTAGAGGGAGGGAGGGCACTACACTCTACTACTGAATTTCCACACCAGCACTCACTGGCTATTTAATATTTAATATTTTTATTCTTTCACCCAGCCTCTCTGTTACAGTGTGCATGCTTTTGCATGGCCAGGTAGCAAAAGCATTCACAGGCTATTTATTCTTTCACCCAGACTCCCTGCTACAGTGTGCTGTGCATGCTTTTGCATGGCCAGGGAGCAAGCATGAAGACCACTGGACTGTGGCAGAGATTCGCCTCTATCTCTGTTATAACAACTGCTGCTCTTTTGCTCAAAGCAGAATCATCGCAGGCCTCCGCCGGTATCGCTTCTCAACAGCGAACGCACTATCGCTAACTACAATGAGCTTCTTCTTGCACATAATTTGGAGGCCACTCTTTCATTCTGTCTTCCCTTGTCCACTGCTGGTACCCCAGTTGTCGCAGTCACCGAGATCCTAACCCCCCCTTCTACCCCCCCCCCCCCCAGCTTCCCAGGCCTCCCCAATGATATTGCTTCTTCTCTACAGTGAGCTGACTACCACTCGCTACAATGGACTTTCTGCTTCCTGCGCAGAATTCGGAGGCCATCCTTTCGTTCTTCCGACTTCCCTTTGCCACTGCTCGTAACCCAACAGTAGCTACCGTCTTCCCCCGAACATAACGCACCCTAAAAATGAATGTATGCGAGTTATATTTCCGGGCAGATACAGCCAAAATGAGGTTGCTTTGTGTTCGGGGGAAGACTGTAGTTGACGCCTTCACTAAGCTCCTAAAGAGTCCTAATCCCTTTTACGCCCACCTCTCCCCACAGCATGGGTAGAGAGGGACAGCACTTGAAACTCCCACCTCTTTCCGAGCTGTGGGCAGCGCGCCCACATTCGAGGGGACGAGATCGAGGTTGACAAAATAGTAAAAAAATACAGGGAAGAGAAATTAAACAAATGCAAAAAAGAAGAAACCTAGTTGGCCAAAAAGACTGAGTTTGCAAACCTGTTTTCCATTTGCTTCCTCATGTGTGTGGCATACTGCCACATACTAGACAGTAGATACACTAGAACGGGTATAAAGTGTGTGCGCCCAACAGCGGTGGCTCACTTGCTTGCTCCACTTGCTCATGCCACTGCAATCCAGGAGCGGAAGATTCTCTCCGAGTCAGTTTCAGCCTCCTGCAAGCAACAAAAAGACAAGCTCTCAGAAGCTGCAGCAAGAGTTCACTGAATTCAGTGATAAAGCAAGCATTGAACAATTTCAACTCTTTGAAAACAATAGCCAAGGGCTTGAGGCTCGAGGCTCGAGGCTCGAGGCTCGAGGCCAGGCAAACCTCTCCTCACAACTGGTTACTAGCACCATTACCCAGCTTAGGCTCAGGGGGCTTGGAAGTCCTTTTTTTTTTTTCCCCCCTTTTTTTAGGGGGCTTGGAAGTTCTAATTATAGCCAAGAAGCTTTCCAAGCATATCATATTATCAATGGATGAGTTAAAGTTGCCAAACCGACTGTCTCGACCGAGTAGAACGCCCGGTCACTGAAAGCGGCAGCTGTATATACTTCGAAAGCTGGCTCAATAGAGCTATAATGCCCGGGCGGCGTCCCATTTGGGTGAGAAGACAGTAGTCATGCATATCATGCATACGATTATTCATCACCAAGTGTTGTGAGGGCGACCTGCTTTCCATGTTCAATCGAAGAACACTCCAACTGGTCCCCCAACTTCAAGGCTTAAACCGCAAGTACACAGCCCCAGCCTTGCAGAAAGTTTTTGTGGCCACAAGCAAAACTCAGAGGGGCTGCACCGGGTGGAGCGCCGTTGAAAAAAAAAAATTGGCGGCCTCCGAAGTGGTGCGGGTTTCGTGCTGACACCCGTGGGCCTATGTGTGGTGTACTGGTCCTTTTATGTCAACTGAGCCCCACTTCACAAGATCTGGTTCCTGAACAGAGGAAAATGTGCTCGCTCTAGCACGCCTCGTCACCATCGCAAGAAGTCGCAATGAGGTAGGCAGTCACTCTATCATGGCTGAAATGTGCACTCTTTTTTTTTTTTTTTTTGCCAGATACCAAAATGTGATGGACACTTACAAATAATTCAAAGTTCAAGCAATTGGCACATACCAAAATGCAATGGAGTCACCATTGCAATTGATTTCGTGGTTCCAAGTTAAAACTTAAAAAAGAATCGGTGAACGAACCAGCAGTCAAACACAAGGTATACAGCAGTACTATACAGTGTGTACACTGCACACCCATCCAAAGTTCATGGTAAATTCTTTTTTTTTTTATAAGGTAAATTCATATACCATTACGATCATAATGTGTAAACATAAAGAAGCTCATGCGGCTGCTGAAGAGGTCAGCAAGGTCAGCTATATCGGCGTGAAGACGCACCTCAGTGATAGCTAAACAAATGGTAGCCGTTTCCACCTTGAGCAACAATGTGAACATAGTTGCTGTACGGAATTGCAAGCATAAAATCTGGTTGGTGCAGAGGTTCATATCCTGTCAATGTGTGAGAGGTTGGTTTGCTGCATGGCTATACCTAAGAGCAACAAGGAGGGAGGAGGGGGGAGGGGGGAGGGGGGGGGGGTTTGCTGGGGGTTAAAATCAAGTCAATAGGGGTAGATTTGCAAAAGGTCATATGCAAACTAACTTGTTGATATATTCGCTGTCAAGTTCACAGTCTTGAGAAAAAAGGCATATAAATGATATAATACTAATAACAATATTATTCAATTCCAATTTTTATTTATTTATTTATTTTAATTCCAAATTTACCAGTTACCCTTTCCTTTTCTTAACCATCCCGAAGAAAATCGGCAGCTACCAGACTTCAATATCTTGAACCATGGCTTAACTCGTTTGCCATGATTGCGCATGATGGTTCATTTGTGATTAAAAAAATCATAAATTTGAATGATATTCGCAGACTTCTTAAACCGCCAGTACACGGCCCCAGCCTTGCAGAAAGTTGTCTCCACAAGCAAAACTCGGACAGCTCTGCAGCATGGGCCGCCGTTGAAAAAAAAACAAACGCGGCCTCCGAAGTGGTGCGGGTTCCCCGCTGACACCCGCGGGCGTATGTATGCTGTACTGGCGCTTTAAGCCCTTCAAGAGCTTCTTTATGTCCTGAAAGGCATCCAAACCCCCTACCAAAACCCAGCGGTCGCCAGGCTTTCATGGAAGGAGGGGTTAAAGCACCACGGCTCCAAAACCATTTCCAGCCAAGGCCAGTGAACAATGAACCCCGAACAGTAAGTAGGCCAAGGCTCAGCCGTGTCGATGTGTCAGTCCTTGTGATGATGTGGAGTGATGTTGGTCGATTGTCTTGTCTCATGAGAGTCAATTCTTTTCACAACATCCCTTATATTACAGAGAATGGCGGGTGACACCCACTCACATCCAAAAGACGGAGCTAGAACTTCAGAGACAAATCCATCCCTTACTCGGTGAAGCGAGTTGAAGGGACTCTAAAGAACATTAAAGTATGTTCCCAGAATATTATCGAGATTCGAGATTCGAGATGCAATAGATTGCGGGCAGCGCATGGAGCAGACAGCATGCAAGCAACCTACAGAGCTCCGTCCAGAAAGGAGAAATAAGGGACCACTTGCCCTTCTGTCAGACTTCGTTTCTTGAAGGCTCCACGTCTTGAAGAATACGCGGCACAGGCGCGACTGAAAGTACAAACAAAAACAACAAGAGGGTTGTGAACAACTACATGAAAATGAACATAGAAAATAGCCGCCTTACGCCGCCAAAAAATTTCATCGGACAATCAAGACATGTTCAGCAACGGCCTCCGGTTTCTCCAAAGCACTCGTACAAGCAAGACCCGTTGGTCACCGCATGCCACACTGATGCAGTCAACAGAAATATTCCTCCAGTAAATAGTAAATACTCAGATCATCCTGTCTCACTGGAGCTATATATTCTGGACCTGCTGGATCTGGCAATATTCAAAGAGGGGCTTTTAAAGGCCCTGAAATCTACGAGGGATCAAACAAGTCACCAAGAGGGGACACTCTCAAAAAGAAAAATTCTTGATGGTAGGTCAGCCAGTCCTGGGAGCGCCTAGTTACGAGTCTCACTTACACGGCAACCTGCAACAGGTACAGAGGTTATATCTCTGATGTAGATATAACAAGGGCAATAGAAACAAGATTCTGAGCACTAGGCTATAATTAATATCCCTACCCACAATAGCCTATAAACCAATGAAAGTCCAAATGAGTTGCTACAACAAGCTAGCAAACAGCATCAGAGCCTTGAACCACCACTAAGTCTCTCCCAGGCAAACTTCTGCACCACCAGGGCATTCTAAGCAATAAGCAATTCTTAAGACGAACAGTGCTACTGGACCAAAATGGATGGCAGCACCAGCAACAAAAGAGAAGAAAGCGCGCTGCTGGCGGTTTGTCTCTTTTGGTGGACATGTGAAATCTGCATTTGCAACAGGTAAAAAGGTTATATCTCTGATGGAAATATAACAAGGGCAATAGAAACAAGATTCTGAGCAATAGGGCATACAATTAATATCCCTAACCACAATAGACTATAAAACAAGATTCCGAGCAATAGGCTATAATTAATATCCCTACCCACGATAGCCTATAAAATAGTATAAATCACTAAAGTCCAAATGAATTGCTAGCAAACAGAACGAGCGCCTTAAACCACCACTACCTCTCTCCCAGTCAAACCAGGGCATTCTAAGCAATTCTGAGCATCAGCAGTGCTACCGGACCAAAATGGATGGCAGCGCCGGTTAAAAAAAGATGGTCTTTTTTTTGGGTGCACAGCAGCACAGGTGACATCTGCATTGGGTAGAAAAGAGGCGCGGAGGTAGTGATGGCAGATTCATATAATGTCATGCCACTTAATGAATGAAATAAGAACATTAGTGAGAAGTGGGCCGATGGGGCCATTCTGTTCTTAGACTCCGGAAAAGACATAGAAGCACCAAACTGACACTTTCTACGAGAGTGCATGGAGGGATGGGAGTGGGGCCAGGATTTCATGAATGGCTATTAGTCATATACAACAACGCGCATGGTCGATCTTACCTTATATCGACGAACTCAACCAACTCCACATTAACCCAGCAGAGTGGTCAAACAGGGGACAAAAACACATGGGCTCTACAGTGTCGACACATCATGGGATTTATGGGAGCCATCCTCCAAATGGGAGCACTGGAAAGACCAGATGTTTCCCTGGGGAGGCAGATGTTTCTCCTGTTTTCAATTGTACCACAAACTACCAGTAGACAAGGAACCGGAAAGAGATGCTCCCCAGAGTAGAAGGGAGGCTCAGCCATATGGCTGCAGGCGAAAAAGAGAAATATTGAATAATTCATTGACTTTTTCCCAAATTCTTTTACTGAAAAAAGTTGAAATATACAGGATGCGACTCAAAAAAAGAGAAATAATATTGAATAATCAATTGATTTATGATTTTAATTTTTAACATTTTCCCAAATGCTTAACTGAAAAAAAAAGTTGAAAGATAACAATGTGCGACTGCGTAGTCGCCACCATGCTCCGCGAAAATGAGAGATGCTGTAGAATGATAGAAAATGAGGTATAAATAAATAAACTGGAGACAAGCTGCTGCCTTCGACATTGTGCGAGGGATTCTTTTGTGCGAGATGCTAGGTATATTATGAGAGAGAAGCAAAAGATCATTGTTGTTGCATAGAGTCCCCTTTTGCTCAGCAAATGCGAGGCAGAAGCCGCATAACAAAAGAGTTGTGAGATCGGATACTCACACAGTGATTGGTGGTCTCCAAGAACGAAAAGATGTCCGGGCGCTCCAAGATATGTGAAGGGAACTTGCGGTGATGACAATCCACCACCTCCGCCACAATATCCCGCAAGGAAGGTCTTTCCTGTGGATCTTGAGAGAGGCATCTCTTAGCCAGGCATGCCATTTTTGCCATCGCCTTTCTCGAGTAGATCCCGTCTAGGGAGGGGTCAATGACACAGCTGAACTTTTCCAGGTCCTCAGACAGAAGTGGAGTGACCTGAAAGTCTCAACACAAACAGGCAATTGGAGAAGAAGATACACACCCCGACTGTCAGATCCGAGTAAAACTGGCTCCACTGCAAAAATGAGATTCGAAAACTGAAACCTCAAAAATTTCAAAGCACAATCTTCAATGCAACCCATCTATCAGACACTTCTCTCCTGGTAGTTTCATAGCAGTTCAATCATTCAACTATGTTATCCCTCAAATATTCAGGGCACAGATAGATAGATAGATAGATAGATAGATAGATAGATAGATAGATAGATAGAGATAGATAGATAGATAGATAGACAGATAGATAGATAGAGAGAGAGAGAGAGTATTACCCATTCAACAAGTGATTGCTGGCCATCAGGATGAGTTGGATCAATGGGTTTCTGGCCGGTTAGAGAGTCTGAGAGAGAGTCTTACCCATTCAACAAGTGACTGTTGGCCATCAGGCCGAGTTGGATCAATGGGTTTCTGGCCAGTTATGAGTTGTAGCAGAACAACGCCATAGTCATACACATCTGACTCCATCGTGGGCTCCGGGGATTCTTCCTCAAGCTGCTTTGAGGAAACACATGCTCTGCAAAATGCATACAGAGGTAATTCACACTCGTAAGAAGAATGAACACCTAATGCGAGTCGAAGGTCCTCAACATATTCAGAAGGAAAATGAGAGAGAGCGATCGACAGAAAACCAAATTGCAATATCACGCTGTCGACCAGATAGTCATGTACCAAGCCGAGAAGCACAGGGCACCGAAATACCAGCCAAATAAGAGCAATACAATGAGTCAAATCATTCAAATGTCAATGCCAACACTCTGTCGACACACCAACACAGTATCCAACGCTGCTCATAATGAACGGCGCTCAGCGCCCAGCCTATCCCACTCGGCCTATTCAAGCCTACACTACGTGTATGCAACAGGAGTCACTTCAGGTTGAAGACCAATGTATGCGATGACGTCGCCAATGCAGACAGCCAGCATACACCAGGTACGTGTGTCTTCTCACCTCTCATCGCCCCCTGCCTCCCCACAACATGCGCCTCCTCTCCCGAAGACCACCGCCCCCCACTGGCATGCGCTCCAGCAGCAGCCCGGCTATGGCCACCGTGCGCCCGCTGTCACCACAGCGCTCCTCTCACCCCCCTGCACCCGTGTGCGCCTCTGGCTAGCGGTAATGCAGCCTGCTCACGGAGCGGTACAAAGCAGCAGCATGGCCGCATTGCCTGCTAGGCCAGAATGTGTCTCTGCTGGGCGAGGCACTTTCCTTTGCGCAATGTGCTGCCCAGGATCTGGCTGCCTGGGGCTGGCGTGAGGGAGCCCAGTAGCTTCACGTTGGGCCGAAGTGTCTACGCCCAGGCCCATTCAGACGGTTGACTGGGAACGCAGCTTTAAGATGCACCCAACCACCAACACAGCCTGTGACGTGTTCCCTGCTTTCCCATTGGCCGACAAGCCAGCTTCCATGGCCCAGCATAGAAGATCCTAGAAGGTTCTTTGAAGATCCCGATGCTCGCGAGCAGGGTTTGTGTAACCAACTGCTGCATGGTAACTCTCCGGCGGTGGCCCATTATGCAGAAATGGCGAAAATAGGGCCCCACATCAAATTACAGGCCGACCTTCACTTCTGGCGGGCGCTTGGCTTGCTAGGGACCCCTTCGCGGGCCTTCGGCAACTGGAGGCCGCACCCAAGCAGCCACTGTGAGGGCTAAATCGTCGCATATTTCATCGATCTTTAACATTGAAATAGTTCTGATGCAACTCCTTCCATGCAACCTCTTCACTACTTAATAAAAAGAGAGCACACTTTGCAGATTTTGCAACTACAGTCTTGAACTCTTCGCGAACCTGAACCACCCAGGGGGGAAAGTGTAATGAAGGGGTCATGCAACTGTTCACTATTAGGGTGGACTCTGGACATGCTTTCCAGCAGGTGCCACCCCCCACCATTGCCACCAATAGACAGGTAGGAGCCCCAGGCCAAGGACACTGCATAGCAGTCCTCGTATCACACTGTGCAGTATCACCGCCAAGGTTTTTTTTTCTTGAAAAAAAAAACAGCGACCACATCCAGCCGTTAACAATCATACATTGTGATCTAGGGATTCCATCTCATCCGCCTACGACAGCTTTAGGAGACAGCTTTCACAAACTGACATCACATTGCTCAGAGATGCTCATCGACAACGCTGTGTAGTACAACCTCGCTTATGGAGCATACTCCACTTGCTTTGGTGACAATCCGACAACGTTACTTCCTAACACACTCCTGAGTCCTGACGGAAAAAAAAAAAAAACAGGTTGCGATCAACCGGCAGCTTAGAGGATTTTTTTTTTCACCAAAAAGCTGGATATTGGCAGACCACCCAAGAGCCTAGCTCAGTGGGTACACCCATGAACTGTTGAAATACAGACCAGATGCTGTGTTCGAATCCAGATGATGGAACTTGACGAGTAAAACCAACTACTAATGAATTGCTTGGGGCCGGTCAGCTCAATAATAATATCTCAAGGCCGTCGCCCTTGAAAAAAAAAGAACTCTTTCCCAAACAGTAGGAGCCTAGGAGGTTAACAAAGCACACACATATCCCCCTTTCACCCGAATTCCTAATTTCTCCGTACCTCCAGATCAACATGAGAATTGCAGACCTCACTCAGGGAGTAGGTAGAGGAGTACAAACTGTACAATGGAACAAAATAATAGAAAAGAAGAAAGGGTATAATAGTAATAATACCCGGTATATGCATAACACTTGTTTCAGGGCCTTGCCTGCGAAATGGTTACAAAAGTTGGGGTGCCTTTCTGAATTTGTTTTTGCTTTCCAGGGTTATCTGTCACCCTGCCGAGGCATGACGGTTGAAATTGCAGTGTTGCACCAATCTCAAGTCCCACAAGGCCCCCAAACTTTGAGTTTACGTTCCCACCCACCCAATCTCCGAGGCCCCTTGTCCACTCGATGTCCCTCCTCCCAGACTCCCATTTATGCCGAAAACTAGAGAGCACAAAACCCGACATAGGTGTGTAACCCAAATGTTGAGCATACATACAGCAAGAGAACTCCAATGCAGCCAATTATTTATTAAATTATTATTATACTTAAGAACCACCAGTACTTCCGAGCCCTTTTCGGCTTGGCAGGCCGACCCTTGAAACTTGCGGCGCGTTAAGGACCATGTCATAGAAAAGTGGCTGGGTGAAGTACCGGTGGTTCAAAAGAGTGTGAAGTTGCTCTAAACCCCAATGCATACCATAGTGGATGAGCTCCGATGAAGTCGTAAAAGCCTATGAGAAAAGGGGAAGAAGTACAAGTACAAGTGACTGCTGCCAAAGCGAGAGAGGGAGGTCATAAGGTCAAACGCTATGGCCCAAACATAGCAGCAAGGTGAGTACGTAGTCAAGAATCGGCACCAAAGACGATATGCATATAGGTCCAAATCAATCAAAGAGCATACCCATCCGGTGAAGGAAGCTCAAGGAGTGGTTCGTCCAGCTCTTTTCCATCCTGTGGGCGCCGAAAGGATGCTGACGAGCTCAACCATGGAAGACCAAAGCCCCCCACTTTCACATTGAAGTGATCATCAAGGAAGATATTGCGCGCATGAAACTGGCCATGCACAATTGGCTTGCTTGTTCCGTGGTGCAGATACTCCTGCAAAGGGAGCAAATACACAGTCAGCTGTCTAAGGGAAATGTGGACCAAAGCAAACGACTGCCAAAATATATTAATAATGATGATAACAATTAAACAAAATGATAAGCTAGGGCTACTTGGGCCGCCCGCTGTGCAGCCAACCTGGGCCAGGCATTTGGATGGTCTGATGCGCAGGGTACCTGGGCATATATAATTTTTTCCTTCTTGGCAGGAGGGCTTTTCCACCCTCGCCCAGAGGAGCTCAATGGATCTTTACATCTGGGCCTCAGCCCTCCGCTGTGGAAGCACAGATTTGAACTGAAGACCTTGGCCCAAAGAGCCAAGTCTCTTAACCACTACAGCCAGGGCGCGGTAGCCGAGAGTGCAACCATACCGGTCATGATATCCATCTCAACCCTGCAAGGCTGTAGTGTCCACACTAAAACACAGCACCTCACTTGACACCACACGATGGACTCGTCAATTCTCGCACACTCAGTTCCAATCAGCACCCAACCTCCCCACTGGTACGTTGTACCCGGTCACTCAAACCAACCATACCGGTCATGATATCCATCTCAACCCTGCAAGGCTGTAGTGTCCACACTAAAACACAGCACCTCACTCGACACCACACGATGGACTCATCAGTTCTCGCACACTCAGTTCCAATCAGCACCTAACCTCCCCACTGGTACGTTGTACCCGGTCACTCAAACCGGACTTTTCTTTGCCCGCAAGTTCCATGGGCGCCTTCCACAGTAGTAATGGGGATCCGTGCATCTGGATCTCAGCCCGCCTCAGTGCAAGCACAGATTCGAACCAGAGACCTTGCCCAAAGAGCCAAGTCTCTTAACCACTGCAGCCAGGACACGGTTTTCAAGTGGAGCTCAAACCCGGGCTGAGTGTTGGCTGTCAAGGGAGGGGAAGAGGGGTGTATATTGGTTTTAACCACTGGTACAAGTTTAAAGGGGCTCAAGGGGTCTAAAGGGGGGGGGAGATTAGTCTGATTCTGTTATTTTCCTTTTTATCTTCTATAATTCTGTGAGGAATTCTGATGTGGTCCTCAGCCAAAAGTCGTTTCTGCCTTGCAATTCTACACAACATTCATTTTCCCGGAATTTTTTGATCTTCTGTTTCTCTTTTTTATTTTGCGCTGGGGTTGCACGGGACTCTGCCCAGGGAACATGCCCGGCTAGGCACCCGCGTGTGTGTCCGGGCACACGTTGGGTGCTTGGGCGCCCAGAGAAACAGCCTAGATAATAAGAAATAAAAGTATAACAATGACAATAAAAATTATAAATTTTATAAAAAAGACAATAATATAATATAATAAATTAATAATAGCACTAGGAAAAGGAGGGGAAGGAGAAGCAGAAGGAACAGGAGGAAGTGGTGGAGGAGGGGAGGAGAGATCTTTTCTGGACTTCAATAACACCTGTCACCTGGTTTATAATGGGACTCTGGACCCCTTTCCCAAGATGTGCTGTGCTGCTACCCACGCAAAAGATCAGAGCTTTTGTATTTAGTATTGTTTACTTTACTAATTAAAAAGGAAGGGGGGGGGAAAAAATAATAATAAAAAAAAGCTAAACTACACCTTACCATGCCACGTGCAGAACCAAGGGCAACCTTCATTCTCTGTTCCCAATTTAGACCTGGCAGGCTCTCCTCTGCACCCTTGCTGCTTGTACGCCTTCCTGGAAAGCGATCGCAAGTCCCTCAAGAGTCACTTCCCTCAACAAAAAAACCCAAAAACAAGACAAACAAAAAACAGAAAAGCTCGCAGCATATTGCTCTCACAATGAAATGATTAGAACATGCAAGAGCGCCAAGAGATCGCATGCATGTCCACAAGTAGCACACAAGTAGCACATTGAAAACGTAACGAATATACACTTAATAAAATTCTTGCAGCATGGGAAGTACTTTGGGTTAGCGGTGAACGTAACAAGGGGATATGATAGGAGGGACAGGACTTTGAAACAGAGATAGCCAGACGGGCTGAGAATGACGGAAGGGGAGGAGTGAGGGACTATCGTGAGACCAGGTGACTGGGTGGGCGCGCGCAGGACCGGGGCCCCCTGCCTGGGGACCCTCATAATGAGCGACTGGGTACCGACGGATGTTCCCCGGCCATTATGAGGGCCCCGGGGGGGAGGGGTAGCGAATGGTCCCGACGTCGCGCCCCCCAGCCCCTCCTGCCGCAACTTGGGCTGCAGGGCTATCTGGGTCTATCTTTGCTCGTTTCTATGTGTACTCTGTTTGCCAGTAATAAGTAACCGGACTGTTGCCCCCCAGAATAGAAAGGGCGTATGTGCTGGTGCAATCAGACTCGTTCTCATTCACACTTTTCATGCATGTAAACAGTAGCGCAGCAAACTGGTGACATGCGCCCACTCAAAACTCAGAGATATGGCATTCAGATGCGAGTTCACTTTCAATTGGCTATGGCGACGCAGCGCCCAAACAACTCACTGTTCACATACACCGGATCACCCTGGATATCCCACACGCGACTCTCTGAACTCACACACACACACACACACTCGCTACACACTAACTCTAGTTATGGCGGCTATGGCCGCAACTACCCTATCGCTATGCTACGCTCCTCTCTCGCCCACTTCAGCTCCGGGCACTCTGCAGACCTCCTTGCACAAGTCACTGTGGCAGCGCTTCCGCATTGCTCACGCAGGAATGAATGAAAGGCTGTGCGATGCCTCTTGATTTATACTTCTGAAACTCGTTGGTCTGCCCTCTTCCATCGGCCCATCGTGCTCACAGTCCCTTGTGGTACTTGCTGGACTGGACTGGGACTGACTGGACCTTACCGCTGACTGAGTGGGGAATCACTGCTAACCTACCACCGTCGTACTGCAATTGCACTGCAGTTTAGTCCACCACTTGACTCACCACTTGCCCACTTGCCCACTTGCTGACCTTCTAGAAGCTACAGCTAGGACTTCTAGACTTCGCTAAGACTTCTATCCTACAGGTCTGCAGATCGAACCCCTGCTAACTACGGACCTATGACAGCCTATCAACAGGTTCAACTCTCGGGATCTACACAGGTACTGTACACAGATAGGGCAAGGTCTAGGGATTGAACCCTGGGGTCTGCGTCTGCTACTGCAAAGAGGTGAAAACCGTTTCACTGGGGAAAAACAGTAATAATAATAATAATAATAATAAAATTGCACTCCTTAATTTGGCAATTATCACACAAAAGTTTGGTCCTCGCTCCACCACTCACCATACGTGCAAAATGAGAATGATTCTTTCACTAGAACATGGAAACATACGGCAGCATATTTTTTGTCTTTTGTGCACGTGGCGAGTAGTAGAGCGCGGCCCTTTGAATGGCTATTCATTCTCTCTGTGTCCCCCATGAACAACAAAAGGACAGAGAAGCCGAAAAAAACAGCTTCAGCGAACTGACTCACCGTATAGGTGTTGCTCCAGCGTGCCATTCGGAAGATGATCGAATGCAATCAGCAGCACTTTGGACGCGTAGCAATACCCCAAGACCTCGATGATATTGGGATGCTCTAAGCGGCAAATGGGAGCAATTCGCGCATGTATCTCCTCCACACCAACCTGTGACAGAGAAGTGCCAAGTGCGTTCAGTTTCCTTCCCCCTCCTCCCCTCCCCCCCCCCCCCGCCCCCCCTCAATTATCATCACGTAATATGCATGCATGCACATGTGCATGCATGCACACACGTTTATATGCATGCTCATTCTGCATGGACTCTCGTTACTGTACCGGCCGGCGGCTTTCAATTAATAACTTACCAGTTACACCCAGCCCATGTGGCTGCATGATACACCCAATGCATAGAAATGTTGATAAACCCACCTGAGTTCAAATCCTGAGATAAGGGCAGATCACATGACTCAGAGTCTCAGATGACTAAAGTAACTGTTTTTTACCTGGCGCCGGTTCGATCCTATGATGATACTTCAAGGCCATCACCTTTTTTAACGAAAAAAGGAAAAAAGAAACGAACTTTCAAGTTACAACACACATGGGCACGCCTGCTTTCCTAGCAGCACGATGACGTGGCATGCACCGTGCTCCTAACAGTGTATTGGCTGTTAGCAGCCAGTCAGCGGCAGTTCGTTCAGTTACAGCACTGGCAACACATCAGCACGGGTAGTTTCCTAGCGTCTCGCTCTGAGTGGAACGTAGGGTCAGTATGCCTGTATTTGGGGCAAATTTTAGCCTAGATGCAGAGTTCTATATGGGTGTAGCGTGATGACATGGCGTGCCCCATGTGCCGTGCTCCTAACAGAGCGCTGGTTGAGAGGGAAAGCTGTTGCAAATGGAGGAGGGCGGGTTCACGGGGATTTCTTCTTTTTTTTGTGCGGGGTGGTGGGGGGGGGGATGCGCCGCCACATGGCGTATCCCAAATTT